TCAGGGTCTATGGGCAGAAACCTGCCACAATGAGCCACTCCAGTGTGCAGGGGTCACAGTCCCATGGGTTCAAACTCTTGTCCCCTAAGCATACATGTCATCCAGCCCCAGCATCATCTTGGCCCCCACATCCTGTGCTCAGTAAAGCTGGAGGCAGGCTGGCTTTGGGAGTTGGTGGCTCAGCAGTTCCCGAGGCTGGTGCTGGCTTTCTATCAGAGCTGGCTCTTGAATTTCGGCACCAAGTCTCAGAGCACCTGTGGCAGGGCAGAGAGACCAAACTCACAAACCCCCAGAGCTCGTCCGGAAAACTTAGACCAACAAGGAGCCGACGACACAGAGCAGCACAGCAGCTGTGGGTCCAAATGAAGGGTGGGGAGAAGGGGGGAGCCGGGTGACAAGCGGTGGCACCACTGTGCACGCCTACAGCTGGACAGGGCCCTCAGATCCTGGCTGCTTCGGGTGGTGGCGGCTCTGCAGACTGCGTGTGCAACGCGGAGTATTTCACTAGGGGAAGAAGAGGCCCATCAGAAGGAATTCTGCTCTGTCTTACATGGAAGCAGCAAATACAGCAGCAAGCAGGTGCTGGGAACAGAACTAGGTTTCCCTTTGTATCCTGGGGGGGAGCGCTTAGCCCTGCCTGTACAACTTTCCCTCTGGGACCCACTCCCTGTCCCCAGTCAGGACTGTCCAGAGCCTGGGAGTAGTTTTGGGCGGGTCAAGGGGAGATAAAGAGAAAGCTAGAGAGGCCCTGGAAACAGCTCAGCCTCCACCTCCTCGCCTAAAACATGAGCATGTTCCCGCCAGCACTGCTGGAAGGACTATTTTAAATAAAGTGCCCAACGTAGTACCTGTCCACACAGATGTTGGCCTCATGGTGGCTAACTGCGGCAAAGCTCACGACAGTGGATGCGAAAGTGGAATCCATTTTTCCACATCTGAACCCAGGCCTATTTTAGTTAATTTGGTGCAGCACTGCCACCCGTCTTCAGCAGTGCTGTAGGGCACCCGGCTCCCCAGTACATACCACACAGGCTGAGCTCCTCCTGGTCTCCCAGGCCCAGTCCCTGCGGCTACTGCACTGTAGTTCCAGTGGCAACACTTGCCTGAGCTGCTCCCCGACCTCAGCAAGCCTTTCTGGACCTCCTCATTGGCATCCCATGGGCACAGGTCATATCGGCCTCGAGCAGTTGGGCACCCTAGGCCTGTGGCCTGAACTTATGCGACCTCAAATTTCCAACAGCTCCTGCATCCAGAAAGTGCTTGATGGCCACAGAAGGGGGAGGGAGTGGCACAGGTGTTGACAATAGGGTCTGGGTTTTAACCAAGTTCCCTCTTGCCTGTGGCAATTTGCAAAGGGAAAAGTTCTAGGTCTAGGTTAAAAGCTTCCCCATGGCTCTGTTCAGAATGTAATTGTTTTCGCTGATGGGGAGCAGAGGTGCCTGGGGCTCTGGCTCACACGAATCAAGGGCGGGGGCTGAGCAGCAGCAATGCCCAGAAGTCACGGGCATGGCAGCAGATGGCCCTGGCTGTCACCCCAGCATCTTTGGGTCATGAAAACTGGGAGGCAGGCTGATCAGGGCAGGCTTCTGCTCTGGCCGGACATTCTAGAAGCAGAGGTCTCTGTGCTTCCCTGCTTCTCTAGCACGGTTCTGCTCAGTGCTGGGACCAACTAGGAAAGTGTCAGCAAGGGATAGTGAGTACAAAGTCCTCACCTTGGGGTTCCTCACACACCACGGCTTCCAGGTTCTCTCCCTTCACGTAGTCTGCGTTGAGACCCTCTGCAAAGGGGAAAGGGCAGAGTGAGTGACGCGCACAGGACCTACGGGTCCCCAACCGTGGCTGAGAATGCCTGACCAAGCCCTCTGCAGCTAAAAAAGCAGCACAGCTGCCCTAGGGAGCTCAAAACCCTGCACCCTGGGCCACCTGAACATCCTCATCCAGATGAAAACTGTTTGTCCAGGAACTCACTGCCCAGGAGTTCTCATCGTCGTCCTCAGAATAACAATAACATGTAGCAAAGGCTTCTGGCGCTCCACCCTCACAGGGCAGCCGCCACCACGTCAAGACGGCAGCTCCGCCCAGTGAAGGGGGTGCCCAATGGCAGGGCTCAGCACCATCCACAGGTCCATGTGCGGCCCAGGGGCCAGGGAGCCAATTGCTATGAGTGATTGATGGATGCAGGGCACCGTGGAGATGCAGCAAAGCCTCCTGCCCACATGCAGCCTCCCAGCAATACCCGTGCAGAGAGGCCAACTGGCTCCTCCCAGCAGCAGGAATAACTGCTGTGTCCACCCGAGCTTGGAGGGGCTGGCCCGCCAACAGCTGCTTCAGTCTAGTTGGTTATCTAGGCTTTCTCCACACCTATTTACAAGAGGGATTTGGGGACGGTACCAAGCATCCCCTTCAGCCAGCAAGCGCCAGTGTTCAAGTTCTTAGAGTGGACCCCACTCCTGCTGCTGCTTGCAGAGTCGAGTCTGTGTCTCATCCCTGCATAGCACAGGGACTGGAACCCTTCAGCCCCGGGTCTGTGGGAAAACCGGGGCATGGTTCCAACCAACTGACCGACCGACCAACCGACCGACCGACCGACCAGGCACCAGTGCAACCCAAGCCATCGTCCTGGGCTACAGGCTCCTTGCCTAAACAAGTATGCCCACCACCTGCCTGCCCCGGTGGCTGCTGGGCTTGAGGTGGGAGCCATATGGGCCTGTGACAAATGCGGGCACTGCTCTTTGGCAGGTGTGGCCAGCCCCACGCAGAGCGGGGCAGGCGATGAGGGCAGTGGAAGCTGCTCCAGGTGCACCTTCCCAGCTGACAGGTGGGGGCCAGGAGACACACCCTGAACCTCGTGATCACTGCCAGCTGCCACCCCAGTGGGCGCTGGATCGTTTCCTGCCTGTGGGTGGCTCTCTCTGTGCTCCCCAGACACGACCACCAGTGGACAAGTGAACCCTCACCACGGCACCTCAACTCTCCCCCGGCTCCCGCAACATCCAGCCTGGGGACACAGCGCCTGGCAGGTGGCATCCTCTCACACGCATCAGGGCAAGCTAAAGATGGTCCCAGTTATAGCCACGTCGGTGAGTGCCAGGGAAGCAGGAGGGAGAAGAGTGGCAAGGAAGCGCCAGAGCAGGGGGCAAATGAGTAAGCATGAAGGCTGAAGCAAAAGGAAAGTGAGGAAGGCAAAGCAGCGTTACCTTGACCTTCTGCTGCACCTGAAGGCAAGACACAAAGCTTAGAACCCTGGAGTGAGAGCGCTCCCGACAGCAAACATGCGGGCTTTCCACACCGAGGGCAAAGGCAAGGGAAGCCAAGGGTCCCCAGCAGTGGCGGGGACAGGCCTTCCTCGCAGCCACCTCCTGCTGTCTCCCCAGGGCTTTGTGTTCTGCACCCCTGCCCCCTCTACCGCCATCTCCATGTGGCAGTGGCTGAGACTCAAGGGAAAGAGTGGGGACAGGAAGCCCAACCCCCAGCTTCTCAGTGTGCTCAGCCACCCCACAAACGTCTGCGGGACCCCTCCTGATTCTGGCCCGGGCCAGGTGCCAGGGACACGATGTACACGCAGCCCCACCACGGAATGGACGGTCCAGACTCCTGATCACTGAGGCGGCAAGGCGAGCTGGGAGTCGCAGACACAGTAACCAACCGGCCCAATCCCGCCCCATGAGCACCAGGTGAGGTCAGCAGGGGGCGCTGTGGGACCACAGGCTGGGAGAGGCTGCTCCAGGCCTGCAGGGCGAGAGGAGCTAGGTCAGGAGGGGCAACAGCAGAGGCCCGGGATGGAGAGCACATGGCGCCCTCGGGAAGTGAAAGGCCTATGGGAGGCCTATGGAGGGGAAAGGATGTGGTTGGGACCAAACCATGAAGGGCTTCCAATGCCAAACTCAGGGGCTCAGCCAGGACCTTGAGGGCAGCAGGAAGCATAAGGGGGATCCACGCATTTTAAAACAGGTCCCCCTGGAGGAGAGTGAGGTGTGGAGGAGACTGGACAGGCACAAAGGTCTATGGAACCTTCTGGATGGAAGATGAGGGGAAGACCTTGGCTCTGTCCTGGCAGGGGCCATGGCAATGGTGATAGGGAGGTGTGGCTCCAGAGGAGACCTACGCAGCTGGCACAAATCCCAGGACTGCGGAATGCACTGACATGAGGTGGGGGGACAGGAGGACTCCCAGCCTCTAGCTTGGGGAGACAGCCACACAGGAAGGTGCCATGGGAGAAGGAAGGTTGGAGGGGAAGGGCAGTGAAATCCAAGATGGACACACTGGGCCGACGGGGTTCCTGGGAGCTGCCCCGCTTTGCCTGCTGAGTCACTTCCCAAAACCTCACGCTGGCCCGTTTGAGGAAATAAGCATGAAAATGACGTATTTTCCTTCCATTTTAATAAGACAGATACAGTCAAGATGTTCACTTTGTGCTTTAGAAATCAACCTATTTTTCTCTCTCTATTCCTACTGACACCTGAGCAGCCTCAAGCCAGCCTCTGACTTTTTAATTCCAGAGCAGGAAGTGGGATACCCTTGATGGGGAAACTGAGGGCCCAGCAGGAGAGGGCCCAGGCCGGCCACCCTGTCTGCTCAGCCCAAGAACTCTCCCCATCCATGGCCCTGCCCTTGCCAGGCCGAGTTACAGGGCTGGCTTTTCACCCACGTGCAGAGCCCGGAAGAGAGGCAATGGCAGGTGGGCAGCAAGCGCACGATGCCTGGGAAGCTGCTCTTACTAGGAACTACAGACCTGTAGTTTAAGTAGTTTCTTTTACCCAACATGCTTTTTAAAGTCTCAAAGCCATCCTTTGGCCTGGCCATCTCACCCAGTTTTGTAATGGGCATGGATTTGAAAACTGTGGACTGTCGCATCTCACCATTAGGCTAATGATGCTACAGTGAAGGATGCCCCGCCCCATGCCAAAAAAGATCTGTGAGTCCTCATTCCTGGAACCTGTGAACGTGGCCTTATTTAGGAACAGGGTCTTTGCAGGTGTAATTAAGTTAAGGATGTTAAGATGAGGTCATTCTGGATTTAGGATATAAAGCGAGATTGGAGTGACACAGCCACAAGCCAGGGAACACCCGGAGTCCCCTGGAACTGGGAAGAATCAACTTCTATTGTTTTGAGCCACTCAGTCTGTGACTCTTGTTCTGGCAGCCCCAGTGGCCTCATACAGCTTTGGCAAACCTCACCAGTGAAGCTCACAACTACTTTGTTGCTACAAACCAGGCCTCCTTGCCACCCCAACCACCTAGAAGGGGAAATCATCAGAAAATCAAGGCCGAAATGTATCTGACATGGTGCTTCCAGCCAAAAAAGCTCTCCAGCAAAGGCCCAAACAGGAGAAGCCCTCTAGCCAGCCACCAGGACCTCCCCTGCCACTGTGGCCTCCATTTTGAGGGCATCTCTGGGTGTAGGATTTATTTTAATAATAAATATTTGTTCAATGTCATTTTAGTTACCAACTAGTTTAATCAATTATACAGGAAAGATACTTTTCTCTCAGTCAGTTCTAACTTCTTCCTACAGGCCTGGTTTAATCCAAATCTGGGCTTTTATCTTTTCCCAAGAGACCATCTTGAGAACCTGGATGCTTATCCAAAATCTTGACTCCTCTCCTGGCAAGCACGATGCTCTCAGTTGTTCTCCCAAAGTGTCCCTGGCCAGGTCCTTGCTCCCTCCCCTAAAACAGGGAGGGGAGACGAGTATGGAGAGATCCCAGCCCCAAAAGCAGTTTCAAATGAGGATCCCTGACCACGGGGAAGGCCATGTGTCCCAGAATTCCCATCTCATTCCAATCCACCTGCCGGAGGGAGAGCCCACAGAGGACAGCCTTGGAGCCTCTTGGACAGAAACCCCCTGTATTAGGCGGCTTCTACTTTTTTGCCAAATGCAATAAGAACAAGGTCAGAGATCAAGGGCTGTGACTATGTACCTGGTTGCCCTGGGCTCGTTGTTCCAGGCACAGCCCAGGAGGCTGATGCAAAACTGCCCCCGCCACACTAAGTGCAACTCGATCCTCTCGCCCAGTGTCTCCATCTAAATATCAGTGTCCACGCATTGAGAAGGTTGGATTCCCATCTTTTTCACCAGTTAGAAGATTCCTTGACTTTTGAGTTGAGGGAAAGGGATAACTCTAAAAACCATCCAGTCCCCAGCCCTGGACTCTGTCTGACCCACTCCCTGCTCACGCCACTCTACCGTCAAGCTTCCTGATCCACGGTGGGTCAGTGGGATCTCAAGCAGGGTGGCCATGAACAGTTTTGCAGGCTGTGCACTGACATGTCAATGTGTTCCTACAGTACTGCTGCGCATGCTGTGTGTGTCGCCCTGGTCAAGAATGTTCTACAAGAGTGAAGGAAACAAATATGATGGTCAGATGAATAAGCAGTTGGAGACTTCAGCAAAGCATCTTGGGACCCAGGTTAGTTTTCTGGGAAGCTCAGTTCAGGCTAGATTTAAGGGCGGAGGACCACGGCAAGGGCAGGGAAAGAGCCACGTGGGCTGTTTCTAAGCTTCCCCTCGCATCAAAGGGGTCAAGGAGTGGAAAGAGACAAGCTACAGCTGAGTCACATTCTGTCGCTTGAACTGAAAATCTCCAACCTTGAACTGGAGACATGCTCCACTCAGCAAACAGTGACAGAGCATCAATCTGTGCTTATAAAAGGGACGAGCGAGGTCTTGTTCCCACAACAGCATCCCCACAGGGCTCGCTGATGTGGGGCGCTGATGGGTGAAGACAGGATTCCATTTGTACCTATTCCATTAATCCATAACTTGCAGACTCACAGCTACAGCATGAGATGAAAACTGTCTTTTAAAAACCTAGTAAAGGGTGGTGGGGGTGGTGGGGGGAACCACGTCATTCTTTCTCTCACATTCCTACTTCTTTGGAGCAATTCATGATTCGGTTTAGTGTAGTTTGTGGCGCGTGGGGGGAAGAGCACCAGGCAGTGACTTCTCAGGATGTGACGGGGGCACTGCCAGAGCAATAAGGGCCGTGTTTTGCAAACCCCCAGGAACCACTGCCCTCTGCTCCTGAGGGAGCCAGCAGCATGGGAGGGAGCTACTGACGTAGGGCCTCCAAAGGCCCTCATCCCCTTGGCTGAGGTCTGAAGCTATGGGTGCAGTCCAGGGTCCCTCCCATTCTACGTGAAGGAAACATCACAATGGTCACTGAGCTCTGTCCCCACAGAAGTACCCCTGGGAGCTGGGGCCCTGGGAAGGTGAAGGTCATCAGGGCCAGCCCCATCTGCTCTTGCAGCCTGGTTTACACTTTAATTCAGCCTAGATCTGTCCCCAGGGATTTCCAAAACTGTAGCCTCCACCCCCGTCCCAGGAAGTCTGCTTGGGAGTGGGTCTCAGGCAGGCTGTGGAGGGATCTGGATCTGTCCTGGACCCTTTCCCTCCAAAGACCTTGCCGGCCGGTTCCCAGCCATGAGTGGGCGGCTGCACTTACGCTGAATGCTGAAGCAGAACTTCTTCTGCTGGTAGGAGATGTAGCTGGAGACGGCACCAATGAGGGCCATGGCCAGGGCGCTGACCACCCCGGCAATGGTGCCGGTCTCTGCCACCGTGCCTGTATGAAGAAGGGGGAGAAATGAGGACAGGTGAGGTCAGAGCCAAAGCACCCCAGGGAGCAGCCCGGGAGCCTGCTTTTCCTCTAGCACCAAACTAAGTTCATTCAGATGCCCACAACCCCCAAGCCAGCAGGAGAGGGCCATGCCACCCAGATCTAACGCATTACAAAGACATGGTGCCCCTTGGATTTGCCTAGGACTTCTCATTTTCTGTAAGGACTTCACTTTTGAGGAGCTTGAAAGGGAGACGTGGAAACAGTGCAGTGCTTTCTGTGACTGAGGCCCTGCAGGCTTCCCACTGGGCTACTTCCCCCGGCACCCCAATCTTCATGCTTCATTCCTTCAAATGGCTACACCCCTCTATTGGCCTCACGATTATCTATTGGAAACGTTCAGGGGGATGGCCAACTCTGAGACCAGAGTGGGCCAGCACTGTGTCTCCTCATAGTTGCTATGAAATATCTGAGACAGGCCTCAATCAATTTAGAAACTTTATTTTGCCAGGCCAGGCACGGTGGCTCATGCCTGTAATCCAGCACTTTGGGAGGCTGAGGTGGACGGATCACGAGGTCAGGAGATCGAGACCATCCTGGCTAATACGGTGAAACCCCATGTCTACCAAAAAAAAAAAAAAAAAAAATTAGCCAGGCGTGGTGGCGGCGCCTGTGGTCCCAGCTACTTGGGAGGCTGAGGCAGTAGAGTGGCGTGAACCCGGAAGGCAGAGCTTGCAGTGAGTTGAGATCATGCCACTGCACTCCAGCCTGGGCGACAGAGCGGGAGGAAAAAAAAAAAAAAAAAAAAAAAAAAGGACATTTTATTTTGCCAAGGTTAACAACACACCCATGATACAGCCTCAGGAGGTCCTGGCGACATGTGCCAAGGTGGCCGGGGCACAGCTGGTTTTATACATTTAGGGAGACATGAGACATCAATCAAATGTGTAAGATGTACATGGGTTTGATCCGGAAAGGCAGGACAACACAAAGCAGGGGTGGAGGTGGGGTGCTTCCCGGTCATAGGGAGATAAGAGAAAGAGACAAAAGGTTGCATTCTTTTGAGTCCTTGACCAGCCTTTCACTGAATACACAATTTCATCTGGCTCAGTGAATCTGCATTTTTACATAAGCAATTGGGCAGAGGAAGCAATCAGATATGCATTTGTCCGGGGGGGGGGGCGCGGAGCAGAGGGACGGCCCTGTCTCCCTCTGTAAAGATCAGCCAGGGTGAAATTCACAGAACGGTTTCAGGGTAAAGATATTGAGGCCCATAAGAAATTTCCCTGCAGGCAAATTGTGAGGGAGGTATGCAGCTTTTTCCAACTTTGTAGCTATCTTATTTAGGAATAGAATAGGAGGCACGTTTGCCTGATGCAGTTTCTAGATTGACTTTTCCCTTGGCTTAGTGAATTTGGGGTCCTGAGATTCATTTTCCTTTCACATGGCCAACAGGAGCCTCAGGATTCAGAAACCCACCAGATCCAGGGTCGTCATCGCTGCCGTACCGACCATCACCTGGAGAAAAGACAAAAGCACTTAGTGCCAGCGACCAGTCAGCTCAGGCTCGAGCTCAGGCCTCCGTGAGCTGGATGGCAGTGCTAGCCCTTCCAATCCCACCTATGCGACAAGACCCCAACTCGTGGATCACCCGTAGGCTTCTACTGGACTGCAGTGAGGCCTGCTTGCTTATGCCTACCACCTGCAAAGCCCAGGCCACCAGGTGGAACTTTTTATTATTAAAATGGCAGCCACCTTGCCCTGAGCAGGCCTTGCGTGCCGGGCTCTGTAGGCGCAGTATTCCATTTCACCTCTTTGCTCCCAGTGGTGCGGCTGCACATAGTGGTCTCACCATAAGTCGGGGGGTGGGGTGCTGTGCCAGGAGAGCCTGACTCTCAATGCCACCACCACGGGTCTCTGACGTAGCCACTGCCTCAACTACAGCTGAAGTCGCTCTTGGAACATAAACAAATGTAGGCTCACAATCCCTTATCCACTATTTTGAAATTCAAAAGGATCTGAAGTATCACAGAGATGGAGAACAAATGAATGCTGGCAGGGGCTGGTGAGAGCTGGGAGGGAGGGAGTTAGCTACGATTATAAATGAGCAACAGGAAGCAACCTTGTGGTGACAGACTGTTCTGTATATTGACTATGGTGGTGGTCACACAAATCACACACGATAGAACTGCAGAGAGTTAAATGCACACATGCACACACACACGCACACAACCCTTCCCCAGACAGCTACTCGCTGAGAAGCCACTGGTGCCATTTCAGTACCTTAATTAGCACTGAGTTCACCGTTCATCCCACCCTCTTCTCAGGGCCAAATGCTCATTAATGGAGGGAGACTGTGTTCCCAGAGCCCGGGGTTCTCAGGGGAAACCGCCCTGGCATAGTGAAGGCAAACGAGCTCCAACGTCTCCTTCACCAATCAAAGAGTCAGGAGGAATGGAGGTTCGTGGATTGTAAAACTACCACTCTGTCAGGGTTGCGGGGTGCGGTATTGATAGCTGGGGAGGCTGTGCACACGTGGGGGTAGGGGGAATATGAGAACTCTCTGTACCTTCCTCTCTATTTTTCTGTGAAACTGAAACTGCTCTAAAAAATAAAGCCTATTAAAAAAAAAGATTCTTGGGGAAAAATGAGGTTTGTTATGTTTCCACCTAAGGCCGAATCCTCGAGCTCTGTGTATTGTATAAAGATCCCTGATTGGATATGAATGGTTATTAACAAAGCATTAAAAAAAACAAAAACAAAAACAAAAAAATAAACACACACAATCATTGCTGTTGGAGAAAGCATAACAAACAGGAAGATGGGGGTCACTGTGTGCAGCCAGATCAACAGAGAGGTCCCCTCCGCTGTCCTGGAGGTGGCTGTTGTGATAGCATCCTCTGCTAATGTGTTCATGTCACTAGACTTCTATTTTTCTGGACTCTGAGTTATTCAACCTATTCTTTCACCTCAAGGCAGAAGGAAACAGTGTTCTCAGGTCTCCTTTCCCTTAGGAGGACTTGGCCACAAGGATTCCCAGCAACTTCAACATCACGAGACTGCTGAGCAACAGTCTGTGATAAGAAACATAAACACGTCCAACCCCTTCCTAACTTCCCCCCAGGGACAAATGGAGAGAAGGGTGACTCTCCCAGCCTTTCAAAAAGACTCAAAGCTCAATAGTCCACAGCTCCAGCGGTTCCTAACTACCTGACCATTTGTGATTGTAGGACGTCTTATCCTAAGAAGATGACAAAAATGTGCTTCTCTTCCTCCTCAAAAAAAGTGATCCCATCCTGTGGGCAAGTCTTCTCAGATGGGCATGTGAACGGAAACTACTGTGAGGCTAAGAAACATCTGGAAGAAAAAACGGCCAGTCATCTTAGATCCTTCTGTCCTTTCTCACTATGTGAGCCTGAAGTCAATCACACAGGCCACTGGCGCTAGCAAAGCCGAGGTCATGGCTTTGAGCCATGTTGGGCTACTGAGCTCTGCTTACTTCCTCTAGGCACAGACTGAACCCAGTTACTCTACAAAATGCACACTGTGCAAAAGATGGTGGTGGTGATGAGTCACGGGCATAACATAAAATTATCCAACCCAATGCCATCCATGAAGGTCAGTTCCCAGTAAAGATAACGTGGATGAAGGCATAAAGTACTATAGAAAAATTTAGGGGTAAGGAATTTCTATGATCTTGGGGTAAAAATGATTTCTAAATATGATCCTAAAGCCGGAAACTCAAAACGGAAAAGATCAGATCAGAAGTAAAAACTTCAGTACTAAAAGTGCAAGCAACAAAAGTAAAACTAAATTGGGCTTTGTCAAAATTAAAAACCTGTGTGCTTCAAAGGACATCATCAAGAAAGTAGAATGACAACCCACAGAATAGGAGAAAATATTTGCAAAATACATATCTGATAAGGAGCTGGTATTGAGAATATATAAAGAACCCCTTCAGCTCAATAATAAAAAGGCAAATCATTCAATCTAAACATGGGCAAAGGAAGTGAATAGATGTTTCTCCAAAGAGACATACAAATGGCCAATAAACACATGAAAAGACGCTCAACACTGCTGGTCATTGGGGAAATGCAAACCAAAACCATAATGAGACACCATCTCATATCCACTAGGATAACTGTAATCCAAAAAAAGAAAAAGGAAAGAAGACAAGGGGAAGGGAGAGAGGGGAAGAAAGGAAGGAGTGTTGGTAAGGATGTGAAGAAATGGGAACCCCTGAACATTGCTAGCAGGCATGTAAAATGGTGCAGCTGCTATGGACGACAGTTTGGTTGCTCCTTAAGAAGTTAAACACGGAGTTACAGCATGAACTGAGGTCTGCATATTTCTCATTTCTGCATATTTCTGCATATTTTTCTCATCTATTTTAAGGACTCCTTTTACATTAGAGATTAAAAGCCCTTATATATTCCATAAACATTTTATTTATTCATTCATCAGTTGATGAACCTTTGGAGTTGTTTATAGCTTTTATGAATACTGCGATGAACATGTGTGTGCAAATGTTTATGTGGACATATGTTTTCAGTTATGTTGAGTATATACACAAATTGGAATTGTTAGAGTCATGCTGTAACTCCGTGTTTAACTTCTTAAGGAGCAACCAAACTGTCGTCCATAGCAGCTGCACCATTTCTACAGCCACTAGCAATGTTCAGGGGGTTCCCATTTCTTCATCATACCAACACTCCTTCCTTTCTTCCCCTCTCTCCTTCCCCTTGTCTTCTTTCCTTTTTCTTTTTTTGGATTACAGTTATCCTAGTGGATATGAGATGGTGTCTCATTATGGTTTTGGTTGCATTTCCCCAATGACCAGCAGTGTTGAGCGTCTTTTCATGTGTTTATTGGCCATTTATGTCTCTTTGGAGAAACATCTATTCTTCCTTTGCCCATGTTTAGATTGAATGATTTGCCTTTTTATTATTGAGCTGAAGGGGTTCTTTATATATTCTCAATACCAGCTCCTTATCAGATATGTATTTGCAAATATTTTCTCCTATTCTGTGGGTTGTCATTCTACTTTCAGTGATGTCCTTTGAAGCACAGGTTTTTAATTTTGACAAAGAAAGCCCAATTTAGTTTTACTTTTGTTGCTTGCACTTTTAGTACTGAAGTTTTTACTTCTGATCTGATCTTTTCCGTTTTGAGTTTCCGGCTTTAGGATCATATTTAGAAATCATTTTTACCCCAGATCAAATTCCTTACCCCTAAATTTTTCTATAGTACTTTATGCTTCATCCACGTTATCTTTACAGGAACTGACATGGATGGCATTGGGTTGGATAATTTTATGTTATGCCGGTGACTCATCACCACCACCATCTTTTGCACAGTGTGCATTTTTGTAGAAGTAACTGGGTTCAGTCTGTGCCTAGAGGAAGTAAGCAGAGCTCCAGTAGCCCAACATGGCTCAAAGCCATGACCTCGCTTTGCTACGCCAGTGGCCTGTGATTGACTTCAGGCTCACATAGTGAAAGGACAAGAAGGATCTAAGATGACTGGCCGTTTTTCTTCCAGATGTTTCTTAGCCTCACAGTAGTTTCCGTTCACATGCCCATCTGAGAAGACTTGCCCACAGGATGGGATCACTTTGAGGAGGAAGAGAAGCACATTTTTGTCATCTTCTTAGGATAAGACGTCCTACAATCACAAATGGTCAGGTAGTTAGGAACCGCTGGAGCTGTGGACTATTGAGCTTTGGAGTCTTTTTGAAGAGCTGGGAGAGTCACCCTTCTCTCCATTTGTCCACAGAGGAAGTTAGGAAGGGTTGGACGTGTTTATGTTCTTATCACAGACTGTTGCTCAGCAGTCTCGTGATGTTGAAGTTGCTGGGAATCCTTGTGGCCAAGTCCTCCTAAGGGAAAGGGAGACCTGAGAACACTGTTTCCCTTCTGCCTTGAGGTGAGAAAGAATAGGTTGAATAACTCAGAGTCCAGAAAATAGAAGTCTGGTGACATGAACACATTGCTTGAGGATGCTATCACAGCAGCCACCTCCCAGGACAGCGGAGGGACCTCTCTGTTGATCTGGCTGCACACAGTGACCCCATCTTCCTGTTTGTTATACTTTCTCCAACAGCAATGATTGTATTGTGTTTATTTTTTTGTTTTTTGTGTTCTCCATTTGCTTGGTAAATCTTCCTCCATCCCTTTATTTTGAGCCTATGTATGTCTCTGCGTGTGAGATGGGTCTCCTGAATACAGCAGACTGATGGATCTTGACTCTTTATCCAGTTTGCCAGTCTGTGTCTTTTAATTGGAGCATTTAGTCCATTTACATTTAAGGTTAAGATTGTTATGTGTGAACTTGATCCTGCCATTATGATATTAACTGGTTATTTTGCTCGTTAGTTGATGCAGTTTCTTCCTAGCCTTGATGGTCTTTACATTTTAGCATGTTTTTGCAATGGCTGGTACCGGTTGTTCCTTTCCATGTTTAGTGCTTCCTTCAGGGTCTCTTGTAAGGCAGGCCTAGTGGTGACAAAATCTCTAAGCATTTGCTTCTCTGTAAAGGATTTTATTTCTCCTTCACTTATGAAACTTAGTTTGGCTGGATATAAAATTCTTGGTTTAAAATTCTTTTCTTTAAGAATGTTGAATATTGGCCCCCACTCTCTTCTGGCTTGAAGAGTTTCTGCCGAGAGATCTGCTGTTAGTCTGATGGGCTTCCCTTTGTGGGTAACCCGACCTTTCTCTCTGGCTGCCCTTAAGATTTTTTCCTTCATTTCAACTTTGGTGAATCTGGCAATTATGTGTCTTGGAGTTGCTCTTCTCGAGGAGTAT